ATTGAATCCTAATATGCATATAGCGTAATCTTACATTTGCAAACAAAATAAAGAGGGAATCTCTCTCCACACACGCACACAAGAAAAACTCTCAAGTTGTCAAATATTAGATGACGATAATGCCAGTGCCGAAGCGAGTCGAAACGGCGCCACAAGGCTGCTGGCAACGGGTTTTTGTCCAGTTAAACACTTAATGTGTGTGGGGAGTAAAGTCCGAGAGCACAGCCAGCCAGCCAGCCAGCCATGTAAGAATTTTTGCTGATCTAAGGATGAATTGCATAAAACAAAACAAAAAAACTGAGAAAACAGAGGCAAATGCACCGATAAGGCAGCCAGCTACATGAGTACTCCTCGTTTTTATGATATTTCGCTACTTCGGGCAGACTTTTACTGAAAGGTTACTATGCGGAACCCATGGCAGAAAATGTATATCTAAAAAAACGATGGACAAATATCTATAAAGTATAAATATTTCCAGTTAGAGTACTACTGGAAGTTATCTGGCAGTTTATCCAACACTTCTCATGTTCCATTCGCTTATGGGAACTTCGACTCATACGCGAATGTTCTGCTAATGGAAAGGCTACCACCAGGCATAGGAAAAGCAATATTCACACCCAGAATAATGAAAGCACTAAAGGGTAAAAAGTACTCCAATCGATTTGCATTTAATGAACGGAAATCCCCAGAGTATGTCTGACTCGGCGGAGGTGGTGGCACGTAGAACAGGAATAAACAGAGATAAACGGAAAGGCATAAATTCAATTGGCTTCATAGCCGACAGCCGACAGCCGACATCTGGTCTTAGTTTTTGGTTTCGGGAGATACAATGTCTAATATTTGTACGGATATGATTGTCCATCAAGGCGTCACTTACCCTCAAGGCTTTCACTAGAACACAACAACAGAAAACAAAAAGCGCACCAGAACAAAAAATAGTTAGCAAACGCGACGCGAACAAAAAAGTCTATCAAATATGCACGGAAGGCGTAGGCGGAGCGTGCGAGAGGGTACGGACGGACACTCGACCGTTTCGTTGGGCGGACTATTTAGAACTAAAGCCAAACCCGAAAGGCAATCTCCATTTGTATCAATGGAATGAATAGAGTGCCGCTAGCCAACGCCAGCGGCCCATAGAGGGCCAATAAAGCAAATAAATTTGTAGTTCGGTTTCGGTCTGGCCAAAAAAGTTGATAAGGCGCGGAGTGCGAGTGCGAGTGCGAGTGCCTGTGCCGTACAAGCAGACTACATGTGTCCCCAGGCATTATCGCAGAGGGGTACACACAATACCCCATCATAAAGGCCCCCTGCCCACGCCCCAGTACCTACGAAATGTATTACTCATTCGAGTTCGAGTTCGAGTTCGAGTTCGATCCGCATGCTAATAATTGGCTTGATTGAATGCTAGCCGCGCAGATCCTTTAGGGCCATCGTTGAGGGTATTACTTGGACTTATTCTATTGGTAAAAGATTAAACGTACAAAAGACCCATAAGACATTCCCACAGAGATACGATAAACGACGAATGCCCGGGGGCATGAATCATCCAAGCTAGACGCGTGGGACACTCCAGTATCTTTTGGAGAACTGCTTTCTTTATCGATTGTTGGGGATTGGGATCCACACGACAGTTGTCTATGATAATGATTCAGTTACTTGTGCAATACAACATCAAACGTTTTGAAATCTTTGGAGTGGTCAGTCGGTCTAGTGTTGATAAGAACTTTCTTTCTTTCACAGAAATTTTAGTGATAACGCGATCCCAGACCAGAGATTATGTTGAATTTGAGAACACCTGTTCCTGTATCGAGGGCGGTGCCTTTCGCAGTGCTAAATATTTCACGTTAACTATGACAAGGTATTTTAAGTTATGTTTTATTATGCAATAAAATGTATATGTATTGATACGAATCGAAGGGAAGACGTTTTGGGACTCTCATGTACTTGACATATACTCCCACCCCTTTGAACCTCTTGTTTGTGATCTCAAGTTTAAAATCCTTTGTATTTACTCTAATTCGTTTTTAAAAGATGCAAAAATATAGAAAAAAAAGGGATGTATCCTTCGAGCCGGATTTGAACCAGCGACCTATGGATCTCTGTTTGCAAATTGCACCGCAACACCATCTACAGTCCACCGCTCTACCAACTGAGCTATCGAAGGGGCACATTTGGAGGCGCTCCAACGAGCGACTGCTGGATGAAAGACGGGGCACGGGCATGGGCACTGACGGCATTGAACTCTCGCTCAGGGGAAAAAGTGAAAGGTATGCTATATATTTTAGTTATAAATAATGCAAGACCCGAGATGAACGCGATTTAAATGAAATGAAATGACAGCATTGTCAGCGGATTGTCGGAGACCTTCGATAGCTCAGTTGGTAGAGCGGTGGACTGTAGATGGGACAGTGGCACATGGCACATCAAATGTTGTGCCATATGTACATGTACATAAGTAGGACAGAGATCCATAGGTCGCTGGTTCAAATCCGGCTCGAAGGATACGAGTGTGTATGCATACACATATTTTGCACACTTTTATTCTGCATTGAACAATGGACACTGGACCCTCGGCACGCGAAACTTATATTGCTAAAAGTGTGACTTGTTTATGACTGAATGACTGATATGGGTGTGTTCGTGGAACCCTTAAAGAAACCCCGCACACTCCCATCATGTGATGACTAATATTAATATTATCTACGCACATGATAAGATGCCATACGAGAGATGTATGAGAATTACTCACCTGACAGTTGACATGTGACACGCATAAAAGGAATAGCACTACAAACTATCCCAATGATTGGATCTGATAATGGAAAAACTCTAGGGTATAACGACTAGACCAGAACGACTATAACATTCCGTCTCGATGGAACACTTTTTTTTTATGATTTTTTGTAGATAAATCCCTACCAAATATTGACAAATATCCAAACCCATGACACTAGCGGCATTCCACATCATGGGGCTTGCATCTGCAGCAGCAGCACCACACACCATACCATTTTATTGCGAGGTTTGGTCACATGGAAATGTATTCCTAATATTCTCGTTCGTACGTCTGCGTCTACGTCCGATATTACTCCATTAGATAATTCTCAATTATTTTGCACTCACCCCGGTTGGTGTAGGTGGACGTGGGACGTTATAAATGGGATTGTAAGGCCGATATTCTGATGTGTGGTGCGGAGTACACTGAGTGTTATTGCAGTGCCATATAACCGTGAAACCCTCGCCGCTCTCTACGCCAGCTGCCAGCGTTTCCCCAACTTGATTTTGTATCGCGATTGGTGCGATTGTGTGTTTGACATTTAATGATAACAATTTATTCCTAACGATGGGCTGTGGTCATCGGTGTCTGCGACATTAGTGCATAATTGATTGGCAAATAGTAGTAATCGCTCTCTCTCTCTCTCACTCTCTACCTCAATCTCCTTCCATCGCTCTCTAGCTGCCTGTAAACGCAATTATTTATTTATTTATTCTTCTATTGGTTGTGCGCTCTGCTGCTGCTGCTTCTGGCTCTCCTGCCTTTTCCAATGCCATTGCTAAAGTTGTGTAAACTTTTCCATTGCCACTATTAACAACTACCTTTGAGCCTTTAGTCCTTTAGGCTTTAATTTTTTAAATAATATGTGTCCTTTCTTCTAGCAAATCTTCCGCGAATTGAACAGAAACAGTATGAACCAATTGGGAACGGCATACATAGCTGTATGCCTCACGTCCCGTTATATCTCTATGACTCTCTTGGGAACGAGATTTGAAATTGATGGAATGATGGATAGATTGACGCATGCAACCGCCCGGATGCATGACAAATGCGCATGCAATACACACGCCCCTTTGGGAAAAGAACGCATATGTGTGTGTTCCGTGTGTGTATGCGCCGTTATGCAGACAGAAAAATAATAGATGTATTTTATTTATTGGCGCCCATAGCAGAAAATTTGCAATGCAACATACACACACTTCTTTTACATATGTTAGTGCGTACATTCATATATATAATGTATGAATATGGTGTCCCTGCCCTTGGCCTTCAAACATGTTGAGCTTCGCCCTCGCCAATACAAAAAAAAAACACTTTACCGGCAGAAAATACACACACACACAAAAATACGCATGCTACTTTTTGTTAGTCTCCTTACAGTTATCCAGTTGCACTCTACTTCCGTTATCTGCGTCGTCATTGATGGCCCTAAAAATTGCGAAAATTCTACGACATTCCATTCACCAAAAAGGTTGAAAGATTAGGAAAGGGATGTGGGTGTCGGTGTAGGAAGCGGGTAAGCGGGTATTCTTAGTACTTTTGCACTCTGGTTATGGATTATTTTTTGTTGTTTCGTTTCACTCTTTCGCGCACAGCTGTTTCACACAGCAAACACAATCAAACACACACACACACGAACACAAACGGCGGCGCACGAGATCGAGCAGCGAAAAGTGATTTTGTGTTTGTTAAAATATTAGATTAAAAAAATCATTTATGAAGTACTACTAACGCCAAAAACACAACTACACTGAACTCTCGGAGCTAGCCCCGACATAGATATATAGAAGCAAAGAAATTGTGAAGAGAGCGGGAGAGGGAGAGAAAAACTACACTCTGTTGCCGAATATGACGCGCGCGGGCAACACGAAGCAGCTGAGTAAAACGGAATAGAACAAAAAATAATCATAGAGACATTACGTGAGCTGTTTGGGTTGAATGAGCGGATGAGGAGGAGGAGAGAGAGCAACAGCCGAGAGAGAGAGATGCTATCGTTTATCGAATTGAAGCTGCATTTAAATTCCCATTCAAAAATGCCATCACACTCATGGCAATACGTTTCGCAAAATAAGCGGTGATACGGCATGGGCAGAGGGGTAGAGAGAGCATAGCAACGGAATTCATTCTGGTCGCTATCGTTTATCGATTGAGGCTGCATTCAAATTCCAATTCAAAAATGCCACCACACACAAAGTAATTTGTTAATTCTCGAATTTAATTATTTATTCAGCTTTTAAAGGCTCTCTGGCCACATGGCGGTGGTAGGGCTGGTAGCAATTCCCAGCCACATTTTTAATTATGCAGCCAGACACGTGCGTTCGCACGGAAAAATCGTTAATTATTGAATATGGGCAGGCAGTCTAAGGACAATGGCTTCTAACAAATATATGCACATGCTTATAGAGGAGTATGTACATGTGTATGTGAATTCAAGGCTGGGAATGCTTTGGTTTTGACCCAATTTAAAGTTGGACTTTTGTTTTTTTATTGTGCTGTTTCGTCGTTTGGTTATTTATTGCCTTTAGCCTTGTCCGATGGATTCGTGAAACGATGCAATTGCCCATTCGAGCCAATGCGACGCTTTAGCTCAGCACGCATCTCGTGGACCTGCTCAACCACACTGTTCACATCCGCCTGATAAATGCAATAATCCTGGATATTCAATCGCATTTTGTTCTTCTCCAAGCTGCCATACAAATACGAATAAACAATATCGCCCACGGGCACATAATACTTAAGCCAATGATTTGTATGCGAACTAAAATAAATGATTAATAGAAGAGATAAATAGATTTATAATAGATTCTTATACATACACCAATACCGATTTGTCGTGCAAAAAGTTGACAAATCTGGCCAAGTTTTCCATATCTTTGCGCAAACTGTAGAAGGAAAAGGCAGGCAGACATGTGAAAGAGAAAATGAATTTAAAGGGAGTAATTGTTGCGTTCTTACTGCTCCATCGTTTCGGCGACCGTCTTGCCATCGCGTATGAGGCGCACCTCCAGATAGAAGCCCGTGCTGTATTTATAGCGCAGATACTGCAGGCTGCCCAGGGAGACCATCTCGGAGTCGTGCAGGAGTATGATGAAATCGCCGAGCTTCTTGCACTCGAGCTCATCGTTGGTGGCAAAAATCACCGTCTTGCCGCAGTGCCGTATGTAGCGTAATATGTTCCAGATTTCGTCGCGTGTGGTGCCGGGCAGACCGCATGTGGGCTCGTCCAGGACGAGTATCTTGTTGTGGGCCACCAGGGCGAGGGCCACGTTCAGTTTGCGCAGCTTCTCGGCGGTGAGATTGCCGCATTTGCGATGCATCCAGCCGGTCATGTTCAGCATGAGGCACAAGTCGCGCATCTTCTCGCTGATCTTTGGCTCCGGCACGCCACGTATCATGCACAGCAGACGGATGTGCTCGCGCGGTGTGAGCTCCATGAGCAGCCCCGCATGCTGCGGACAGTAGCCCATGTAGGTGCGTATCTTGTCGGTGTCTAGCTTGAGGTCCAGCCCGCGGACATAGATCTCGCCAAAGGCAAAGCCATCGATGCCCACCAGCTGGCGCACCAAGTGACTCTTGCCCGAATTCCGGCGGCCATAGATGCCCATGCTCATGTACTTGTTGAGGGCAAAGGAGACGGTGTTCAGCCGCGTGCCCGTCATGGGCACCTTGGCCTCCACTTGATCGACCAGGAACACAGACTGCTTGCACTTGGTCATATCGGACTCGGCTATCTTCAGCTTCACATCGGCCATGTCGGCATCGTCAAAGGGATATGTGGCCGTGCGCAGATCGCGCAAGCTGCAAACGAACAGGTAAAGGTTAAGCAGAAGTTCGGGGAGCTTGGGACTTGTCTTACTCTCTGGATGAATGATATTTCTTCTCCCTGCGATGCAGCTCAATCCAAAATATGAGCAGGCCGCCCAGCAGGCTTGACACAACCATATAGACAATGGCTGGCATAATGCCCGGCGAACTCCATGTGAAATACGAATGAACTGAGCAAAGAAAAGAGAAATTAGAGCTTGAAAATGTTGCAGAATGTGCCGCCACTTACATTCACAATTGGGCACCATCTCCTGCATGTTCTCCAGTGTGCAGGATGGTGTCTTCTCGCACTTGTCCTGGCAGAGCATCTCCTCGAGGCACTGCGTGTAAATGTTGCTAATGCCATCGAGCATCGAGAAGCCCGGAAAGAGGCAGGCGCCGTAGAAGAAAATCTCATTGCTGTTGGCCACATCCCAGTAGAAAATGTAGAGCACAATGCCGGTGAGGCCGTGCAGCAGGAGCGAGGAGAGGAAGGCTCGTATGCGCGAGGTATTCACATAGAACGACAGCACATAGGTGTGGGTGAGGGCGGCCAAGCCATAGAGGCACATCAGCACCAGTATGAGGAAATTCTCATACGAGCCAAAGCCACCGATGCCCATCACGGCCATAATTACGACAATAATCACCGAGTAGATGAGGTACGTGAACAGGTCCCAGAATATGTTGACGCCCCAATAGATGGGCATGCCCAGGCCGGCAATGATCTGCAGGATCCTCAGCTGTGAGATCTGCTCCTCTACGATGGGAATAATGAAGACAGAGACGGCCAGCGGCAGGATGCAGCCCAATGCCAGCGGCGCATTCATGTGCGCAATCTTATTGTCTATCAGATTGATCTTCATGCTCAGCGGTGTGGGCAGCGGATGATTGGTGACCAAAGCGAAATGTTCCTTGTCATCGGGATATGCCAATCTGCAGATGACAGAAAGATAATTAGTTAGAGAACACAGAAGAGAGGAGAGGGTTAACCCACTTGAGCATCTCATTGTGCAGCAGATTGAGCATCATTGGCGCCGAATGGAATATGTCCTGTGTGATGTAGCCATTCATAATCTGATCGCCATCCTGTTCGACGGCCCCCAGGCTCTTGAGTTCGTTGACTTTCTTGAGATCATCGCGATAGCGACCCTTCTCGCACTTGAACGAGTTCTTCGTAAAGGAGCTCATCATGTTTCCCTGCCGCTTGTAGTGATGCGTCTTCGTCAGCGAGTGAATGTCCACGTAGCCGCAGCCCTTGATGTCCGGCATGTTGTTAACATCAGCGGCGGCGGTGAAGCCAATCTGGATGACATTCGAGCGCACCTTGGGCACGTCCAGCATCACCGACATCTTGGCAATGACCGCTATCAGTATGAAGCTGGTGAAGATCATGATAATGGGCCAGATATTGGGCGCCGAATGTATCATCTTCTTGTAGAACATGGCACGTATGCGCTGGCGTCGCAGCTGCTTCTCGGACACCACCTGATACTTGAAGGTTTGTGCTGCAAGGAGACATTGGGGGGAGCATATACAGAGGACAACTCTCTTTCTGGCTACTCACTGACATCCGGTATGATTTGCTTTTGCAAACGAAACGACTTGACCAGCTTCATGTAGGTGTCGGCCAGCTCGGTACTCACAATGCGAAAGTAATCAATGCCCAGCCGATTGCGATCCGATTCCAGGTGCAGGCAGAGCTTCTGCAGGCGCGGGCGACTCGATAGGGGAATCCTGTAGGTGAGCGTGTCGCCAATTTCGTTGTCGGGCTGTACGTGCGACAGGAATTGATTGATAAAGTCCGTAATGGGCTCGGCGGGCACGTGCGGCTTCTTCGTGACCACCATATCCAGCATGCCGATAAACTTGGAGCGCAGGAAGAAGGATGTGCCGCTGGCCTCGAGCACGCCCAGATTGAGTATGGCCACGCGATCGGCCACATGCTCCGCCTCGCCCACACTGTACGTGGCCACCACAATGGCGCGCGTCTCCTTTTCCTGGTTTATGATCGCCCAGAAGCTCTGCGCCTCGCCGCCCGTCAGCTTCAGCGTGGGCTCCTCGAGGATCACGAGCTGTGTGTTGCCCGCCAGGCAGCAGCAGAGCGCCACCAGGCGGCGGCTGGCATAGCTTAGCTGGCCGATCTTCGTGCCGCGGCTCTCGATGTGTTGGTCGAGCAGCGTCAGCCACTTGCGCTTCTCGATCTTGAAGCGGTCCTCGTCCTCGCGTCGCAGCTTTAGTCGCACATGGTACTCGATGGTCTGCTGCACGGTCAGGTGGCGACTCAGCCCGTGCTCGTCGAAGCGAAAATCAACCAGGTGGCGTGTCGTGCCCTTTGGCGTGTAGCCGTTGCCCAACACGGAGACGCTGCCGCGCAGCGGGAACTTTAGGCCGGCCATTAGGCGCAGGAGAGTGAGCTTGCCGGAGCCAATGTGGCCGAGTATGGCCAGAATCTCGCCCTTGTAGACGCGCAGCGAGACATTTTTGAGTATCTTCTGCTCGGAATCGTGATGCGAGGTGCTTACGTGCTTTAGGCGCATCATCTCCTCGCTGCCGGCGTCGACAAACTCAAAGTTTTGCCAGCTGGGCGATCGGCCCACGTACATGGCGCCCTCACTTCTTTGTGTTTCCACGCGCGGCTTGTTCCGCAGAACGCGGCGACTCAGCAGACGGCCGGGACAGCGCCACTGCACCAGGAAGAAGACCAGTAGATAGATGATGAGGCAGCACGCTGCCGAGGCATACAGCACGGTAAAGTCGTAGTACGTGAGGTCCCTGGGATAGTCGATGACGTGATGGAAGAGCTGCATGCAGAAGCTGAACTGCGTGTTGAAGAACGACACCAGTATAAAGGCCACATAGTAGCTGTGCACGTCCCAATATCGATCCAGGATGATGCCAAATGCCGAATAGCTGAACAGCCACATGACCAGGCCGAAGAGCACGCCGTTGATGGGATTGGCAAAGAGCTTGGCCACCACCATGGCAGTGAGTATCAGCTCAATGTAGTAAATGAATATGAATAAGATTGCTCCGGCCATTGCCTCGACCGTGTATTCGCCATCTTCCATTACCCAAAATATCTGTTTTGAAGCGGAGAGAGAGGAACAACGGATTATTTGAGTGCTGCAAAGCGATCGCTGTGCCAGTGTTGTCAAGCAGCCAACCATCGACTATCGATCGTTGCATTTTGAAATTCACGGAACGTACAATCAAAACCAAAAGGGCACCAAGTCCGGTCACCATCAAACGCAGCATTAACACCAAAAACAAACAGGAATACTGCGTGCAGAAAGAGAAGCCATAGTGCCACTGATGTACCATAACGCCATCCTCCAGCTGACCAGCGATGTTCTATAAATGGATGGGAAAATTTGATTCTTCTCTGTGACGGGACGGGCACCCAGACGCGACTCACTCTGATAATATTCAAGAATGGCAACAGAAAGATGAAATTGTATAGAAACGCGGGCATTCGGACGAGAGTCATCATGGCGCAGGGTTCAGTTGCCGCCTTTAGTCGTATGTTGAAGACCTCCACCTGGGGCTCGGTGTATTTGTTGGGATATTTCTTGACCAGTTGGTGGTACCATTGCAGGAATATGTGATGCTGCACCTGGAGGAAACCCTCGCGTATGTAGAGATCCTGCTTCGTATCCGAGTCCTTGGCATTGTCGCGCTTCTCGCGCACAGCGCCCGTGCAGCGTGTCAGCCAGAGGCGATCCTCGGTGAGGAAGGGCTTTATGGTGCGAAACTCACTGGGGAAACGTATCGAAATGGAGAGGCTCTTGGGTGCCTCGGTTTTGGGCGAGTCGTGGAACACGATGCCCGCCAGGGTGGTGCGCTCATCGAACTGCTTCTGCATATCCTCATTGCTCGTGTACCCCAGGACGCCCAGCATGCCCAGTTTCTTGGCCACGCCCTCGGTCAGCATTTCGGTAATCTCCGACTTGGGTGCGTAGGCCAAATAGTACTTGATTTTATCCCGCTTCTTATCGACCATATTCCTTTGTGGAGGGTGGGAAAATATCAATATGCAGTGGCTTACCCCCTGCCCAGATGGGCTGGCCTCTGGCTTTTTGGCTTACGATAGAATATCTAGGTCGTTCAGCTTATGGGCGACGACCACGTGCTCGCGATCTGTGTCGGCCCGTGGGAATAGCAGCTGCTTCGTGTGCGCTATGGGATTCCCCTGGATCAGTATCATGATAATCACCATGACAATGGCCTCGAACAGCACTCGGCGCCATTGGTTCTTCTCGATTTGAATGTAGCGCTTGAACAGCAGACCAAATCTTGCTGTCATATTGAAATTTAATGGACCCCTCAATGGTCTCGGGGCGTGGAAAAACTAAAACTAGGTTTTTTAAATAATTGTGTCTAGCTAGTTACTAGCTACGTTTTGTTTACTTCATAATAAACAAGGCACAAAAAAACATTGTTCTCCAAGCATATTTCGATTTCCTGACTATTGCCTGGGTATATGTGCGGTATATTTTAAGGTTTCGAAGGTATATTTCGGTATATTCGCGAGGGTCAGCCGGATATATTGAAGGGATAAATTCGCGGTCACACTGGCCAGGTGGCGTATTGGTTTGATAAAAAAGAAAATGAAAACTAAATAAATGAAAATAACCTCTACGCCAGGTAAGTATTGGAGCAAAGCTGTAACCAAGTTACATATTACGACGTGGCGATTTCCCCCTTGAAAGGCGGGTGGCCAAATAATTCCCCTCTACCTAAGGGTAGAGCGGTAACTTAAAACCTCAAAAAAAAAAAAAAACTAAATAAATGTGACAAAGGTGTGAAAAATTCTTAATTTTAGTGGCAAACGAGACCAATCAATTGGTATATTTGCCATCCAAGCAGGCACATAGTAACTTGTTGTCTATTCCGGCACAAAGTCACAAAAGTGCCACGAGACGACAACATCAAAAGAGAGAGACAAAAAAAGAATAAAAAAAAAATGCGTGCGCTGAGGATATTCGCGAAGCAGGTGCCACCGGCGCACATCCTAAATATTAAATCAATAGTTTTGCTAGTTTTTGTCACACTATCAAGCGCTCCCCATGCTGTGCTGTCGCGCAAACATCACCTGGAAGTTCGCGTAAGTTTGTGGAAGAGACAGACACCGCCCCCCACCAAGGCCCCTGTCCCAACCCATCCCCGAACCGGCAATGCCAATGGGCACCTGACTCATATTTCCTTCTAACCCACAACCACTTATCATACACAGAACGATATGCGGCCCTACATAGCACTGAGCACATTCGGCTTCTATACCAATGGCCATCTGGATGTGCAGCTCAGTAAGCTGACGATTGACGGTGAGAATCCCGGGGACTTGGTAAGTGTGAAGAGGAGAAAACTCTAAGCGTAAAGCTCCTCTAACTGCTCTTGTCTGTGCAGTTTGGCCTGTCGCTGGACAAGACCACCATTGATCAATTGAATCCCTACCTGGACTCGCATCAAAACAAATGCATCCTCGAGGAGCCGCCAAATATGCAGACCAGTGGACCCATCCTGTTCTTTGTGCTCGATCTGAAAGAGCTAAAGTGAGTAGCCACACCTGTACATACATACACACACATACGCTAACACACTTCTCTGCTTTTACAGAGTGCGCGTCAAGTGCTCACCCGAATGGAACAATAAACACATCTACAAGGATATCGCCTCGCGCCACAAGCGCAACTCCTTGGCCAAGGTCAGTGACTCTGTGCTGTTCCGGCAGCGTCGCGATGCACCGCCACAATACTCAGCCGAAGGTGCCGATGACATGGACGAGCATTCAGTGGAGGAGCCCATGGATACGGAGGAGCTGCGTCAGCCACATGCCCTGAAACCATCGCCATCAATCGCCGTTGTGGGTAAAATCGAAGTGCCAGCCGATGTGAAGCCCAGCCCCAAAGCCAAGGAAGGAGTTGCTGCTGTAGCTGCTGCTCCAGCTGCTCCTGCTGTTCCTGCTGCTCGTCCTGCTGATCCAGTCAGAGTGCACGGTTATGCTGGAACACCGGAACAACTTACCCTTGACAAGAAGCGTATTAATTCGTTAATGAATTCCATAAACAAACCACCGAAAAAATCGCAAATCAAACCAGAGGCTGCAGCTGCTGCTGCAGCTGTACCCAAGGATGAGGACGAAGATTATCTTGCACCCGACCCCAAGCAGGAGCCAGTGGAAGTGCCAAAGGTGGCTTCAATACCACCACCATCAGCACCGAAAGCAGCTGCACCTGACACTGAATCCGACAAGATGAAAGCCGACAACGACAATAATGCCGAAGAAGTAGCGCCAGCTCCAGTTAATCCCTTTCCCTCGGAGCAACTGGGCCCCTTTCCCGGCGAAAGTCTGTCCGACAATAGCTTGTACAATTCGTACAAGCAATCGCAGGATGCGCTGTGCAAGGACTCCACGCTGCCACTGGACAGACAAGTCATTCAGGGTGTGACTTATTACAACTTTACGTTCTCCATGCTGGTGGCCACACTGCAGGATGAGGGCCTCTACAACCTGTACTTCCATGCCTGTCCCAATTACTATGCGCCCAAAATAGTGTCCTTTAATGTGAGTACAGCAGAAGGGGCATGTCAGTTAGATGCTAAAAATCAACCATTATGTTGCAGGTGGACATTGAGGAGAACAACAACGGCAACTATCTGTCGGCGGGAGAGATGCCCCTGCCCGCTCTGTACTTTATGATGAGTCTGCTCTTCTTTTTGTCCGGACTGTTCTGGGTGTTCATTCTGAAGAAGAGCAAGCATACTGTGTACAAAATACACTACTTGATGGCTGTGCTGGTGTTCCTCAAGTCGCTCTCCCTGATGTTCCACTCGATCAACTATCATTTCATTGAGAAGCGCGGCGAGCATGTCGAAACGTGGGCCATACTCTACTACATCGCACATCTGCTGAAGGGCGCTGTGCTCTTCATAACCATCGTACTCATTGGCACCGGCTGGACCTTCATCAAGCACATACTCTCGGACAAGGACAAGAAGATCTTTATGATTGTGATTCCACTGCAGGTGAGTGACACTCTCTCCACATATGGAGTGCATCTAGCATTCATTTTGAACTTTTCTCTCTGTTCCTCTGTTTGCATAGATCCTGGCAAATGTGGCGCAAATCATCACAGATGAATCGGATCAGAGCGATGCCGAATTCCGCACCTGGCACAACATTTTCTTCTTTGTGGATCTGCTGTGCTGCGGCGCCATACTGTTTCCGATTGTGTGGTCGATACGCCATTTGCATGAGGCCTCGGCCACCGATGGCAAGGCGGCCATCAACTTGCGCAAACTGAAGCTCTTCCGCCAGTTCTACATTATGATTGTTTGCTACATTTACTTTACGCGCATCATTGTCGATCTGCTCCAGATGACTGTCGTGTTCCAGTATGCCTGGCTGGACGAGATGTTTCGCGAGATGGCCACCTATGTGTTCTTCGTGCTGACGGGCTACAAATTCCGTCCAGTATCATCACATCCATACTTCACGGTGCCCGACGACGATGACGATGATGAGGTGGAGGTGCTCACTGGCTCCGGCCTCACCGAAACGGTGCATCGCATCAAGCCACTGAATCGTAGTGGCAGCCATGGCACCGCCTCCACTGGTGGCATCACCATCATCGAGGGCAATGAGGATGAGCGCGAGAATCTAATCGCGAAACGAGAATCAAGTCATGAATACGATTAGGCGATAAGGCAGCACCCTCCTTCATCCCCTTTCCCCAGAACCTTACCCATAGAACACACACAACAACAAGCAATCAAAATCCAATCTACATACATAATATTCCAATGCATAGTCTTTAGAGGCCACAGCCCAGATCTTCGCCGTTAAATTCTAGGCAATAGGCAGAGACCCCAGAGGTTGTGCGTGAGTGTGTGTGTGTGGCTGGTCTTTATTTGTATACACCACAAATAATACTTGAGTTTAGATCATTATCGTACACCTAAGGCAGCAGAAGGAGCTACAAAACAGAGAAGAATAATCTCAATTTGTGCAGCAATCGAACGGCGCAACTGCAAGTGGACTCCACGGCGAGAGAGAGAGAGATGGACAGAGAGGAGAGCGAGGGAGAAGGCAACCCGTCCAGCGCCCACGCGGAAGACACATTTGTAAATAATTACTTAATAATCGAACGCACCGAACGCTGCTTCTGACTCTCCCTCCCTGCCCCCATCCTCTACTATTACCATATATAAATTACTATATACTGTATATGTTTAAATTTATGAATAATTTTAATGAATATAATAACAAAGCTTTAATATATAAACGAGGATAGAATGCATCATATAACTAGTCCCCATTGGATTTCCCCAGTACAAATTTTAATTGATTCTTGCACTTGAATGGATGTTCTTTTGACTTTTAGTTCATGTTTTTAACCAAACTCTCTACCAAGTTGTTCGATAAAAATCAAAGCAATTTCGTAAGTGTACCTTTGGGACGTTGTTCTGATAAGACATCCAAAATGATTGTAGACAAAATATTGTGCCATGATGCACTTTTTAAACCCGGTACTCGGAGAGTAAATAGGGCACAGAAGGAAGCGTTTCCGACCCCATAAAGTATATATATTCTTGATCAGCATCAATAGCCGAGTCGATAGAGCCATGTCTGTCTGTCCGTCTGTCCGTCCGTCCGTCCGTCTTGTTTGTCTGCTAGTTCTCAGAGACTATAAGAGCTAGAGCCACCAAATTTTGGCTCCGGACTGCTATATGCTCACACTGAAACACTGAAAGTGTATTTCAGAAATGAGCCACGCCCCCTTCCGCCCCCGCAAAAGGGCGAAAACCTCCCAAATCTACAATTTTGAAGATAAAAGAAAACGCCATTCCGTAGGAAATGGCCATATCTATCAGATCACCAAATTTGGATCAGATCAGATCATTATTATAGCCACAATGGAGAAATTAATTTCCCCTGTCCCGCAGCTTTTGTTGCTCTTTTAACCGACTTTGAACCCACCCCGTCCCGCAGCTTATATTTGTTTTTTTTTTTGTGTGCGGGCGCTGCCTCTGCCGCGCGTCTGCAGTGTGTGGGTCTAGGGAAGGGCGGCGAGCTAAAGGAGCGTGTTGGTGTGAGAAGTGTTGTAGATGTAGATGACAGATGAAGAAAAAATTTAAAATTTGACAAATAAACGCTAAGGTGCAGATGTAGTCCTGAGTGCCGGGTATGAAAGTTGTGACGCGTAAGAAGCGTGTCACACGTCCCTTCTCGTTATTCTTCGTTTCCATTGGGAAATATTATTAATTTTTGCATTTGTATTTATTTTTTTGTAGCTGCAGGCTATCGTTTAAATTTAACAATTGTTTACTTTCGTGTCCAATGGAACTACAACAAATGAAATATATTTTTTGCTAAAAGTCTTACAAAGGTTTTAGCTTCGAAAAATAAAAAAAAATAGTTCCAGTTCCACTTGTGCTACAAGTGTGTGGAGGCTACCAATATTGATTGCTCAACTTTGGTATAAACTGAATGGTGTATATGATGTAGGTGCCCACCGAGCAGGCAATCTGTAAGCGCAAAAAAGCATCCAAAATGTCACACTGAATGGGACTGAATTGAAGACTCACCCGCGTGAGCAGACAACAGTCCAGAATGGTGATGCCCAGGCAATTGATGCGCAACGGCTGATGAAGGATTTGCAAAGAAAAGTTTTGAATCTGCAAAGCAAAATACAAAATAAGATTACTAATAAAAGGAAGAAGCTAGCGGATGGTATACGCACCTGCAGGGAGAGTTCTGGAAAGCTGCAGCAGCCCGTGTCCGTGACAATATTGTGCAGCTGATGGGCTATTCGTGGCAACATCACCATGCAGCTCTGCGAGGCATAGATGAAGGCGGGTATCTCAATCAAGGCGGGAAATATCAGCGAGTAGTCTGTGAAGATTAGAAGGATCAAAATGGACAGACTACGAACTTGGACTCACCCAAATTAGCTATTTCTATGTAGATTGTGTAGTACATGAAGTAGCAATCGACTGCAACCCTCACATAGATCGAGAGCAGAACGGTCAGGATGGAGTAGCAAAAGGCCCGCTGGAAGCAGCTGTACATCTCGTGCACATCGTTGTAGACGCACTGCTTCTGCAGCAGTTGGCGTCGCAGGAAGGGCCCAAAGTCCTTGAAGCTGCGACCCGTTTCGCTGGCAAATCGCGAGTATTCGGCCAGCAGGCACAGCTCCCGCTCGAGTTGGACCAACTGCTGGCGCAGCAGCTCCATGTGCAGCACAAACTGCACATTCCGCAGGTACATGAGAAAGACGAGCGGCTCAAAGGTGCTCCAGAAGAGTGTCAAATGGATGTTGTAGGGCTGCACCCGCCACAGCCAAATGTTGAGGAGTATCTCCGTCGCCAGGATGCCGTACAGCGAGATCAGGTAGCGTCGATGCTGAAGCAGTTCGCTGCGCAAGGAGGCTGGACGAGACAGCCGACAGCCGAGGTGTTGCTGCTGCTGCCTGGTGAGCTTCCCATGGAGCCACCAGAAGCGTGCCAGGGCCCGCTGGCTGGCCATTGTCTCCGCATAGATGGACAGCAGTGCGACTTCGCTGAATAAGTACTTCAGAGCATCGTTCACAAAGCCGAACATGTCGCCTCTGTAGAGAAAGTGGAGATTGCTGGTCAGGCACACGGTCACCATGCCACTCAGCGCCAGCAGCAGGAACAGGCTCCAGGCTCGCAGCAGCTGGCGCGTTCTGCGCGGCCGCTCATCCCCTGGCAGGGGCAGGCCATGAAAGCCGAGCACCTGATAGACCCGCAGATGAAAGTGCAGGACATGGCCCAAACGGCCGCTCATCGTGAACTGGCCTGCAGACAGTCACTGCTCTCTGGCGCTAAGTGCGCTTATCCCTGCAATGGATGATGGCGACTGCTGATTGGGCGATACCCTCCTGGCTAGAGGCACCCACTGGCTATTTATGTGACAGAAAACGAACAGCAGTCTAAAATTCGTAAAACTGACAAAATGCCCCGAATGCACAAGCGAAAAATGCCAAAGAGAATGCTCGAGAATGCAATAAACAAGACTCTACGTGTAGAGCTGGCTTAGGGTATATTTCTAGTCGCACCTGCTTGCCCATCTGCCCATGTACATTGATAGATATAATTTAAGCATATGGGTCGCCCGTTTGACTGACATAACTCATTTCATTAGCTTAAGTAGCCAACAGAGTTCGGGTCGCAGATAAGTTCTCTCTCCCCGCTCTAAACCACTTTCCAACCGGTTCCCACACTACACAAAAAATCCAAAGACATGGACGAGTATATGGAGAGACGTGCGAGAACCTATACATATATTTGTCTGCTCGGGAACTCTTATCAGCTATGAAAAAAAAAATAAGGGCCAATAAATAAGTCTATAACTAGAGGAGGGTTGGGCGCTACAGATAGGGCCCACTGTACTGATAGCCACCGCTGCCGTAGCCCTGGACATGACCCACGTTGTAGCTGTCGACACCGTTGTACGTCTCGGCGGCGGCACTGTTGAAGCCTGTGGCCTCCGGCCAATCCACCAGTGCCGGTCGACGACGACGCGTTGAAGCAGCTGGCGGCCCATAGGTGTCCGACAGCTCGTTTTCGTATCCAGTCAGCTGTGGGGATGGTCGGAAGCCCGTGCTGCTGCTGCTGCTGCTGCCGCTGCTGCTCGGCCTGGCGTAGTCATAGCCGTAGGCGGACGATGGCTCTTCGGGTGCTTGCAGGGTGTAGGCCGGAGCGCGGCCCGACTTGGCGCCGCGTCCAGCTTGGGTGTAGGGCGCTGAGTAGCTGTAGCCATGCTCCGCCTCCTGCTCAATGTGCTCCTCGACGGGCGCGGGCTCTGCATAGGCGCCACCAATATGATTATGGGAATGATGCGAGTGATAGTGATAGCCCAGATCCTCATCGTCATCCTCCTCCACATGATGGTGATCATGGTGTGGCTTGTGGTGATGATGGGAATGGTGGTTCAGCGGGGCAGGCCGCGACTCAATCACGCGGTACGTCTCCACACTGTGCTCCGGATGATCCTCGTAGTCGTAGCCACTGTGGACTGCAGCAGCTGCAGCTGGAGCGGCCCTGGAGCTGTGCTGCTCCTCGATGATCGTGTAGGTGTTTACCTTCTTCTTGTGTGGCAGTGGCAGTGGCAGTGGTGGCGGCGGTGGCTTCTTGTTGAACGTCTCCGTTAGGTGGGCGGCCAGCTCCTTGGCGTGATTCAGATAATCCGCATGCTCGCTCATGTGCAGCGGCTTGTCCAGATCGGAGAGTATGACGCTCTCCAGCAGCGGACTGGAATGCTTAGGCTTGGGCGGTGCCACACGGCCACGCTGCAGGCGCTGCAGCTGGTGCGGATGCGGATGGTGATGGTAATGGTGGATGACCTTGGCTACCTCGGGCTCACCGTCCTGCTCCTTGGGCACATGCACCTTGATGTGGACATACTCGTTGCCAAAAGCCTCCACCGAGGCACAACAGAGCACCAGCGGCAGGAGGAGGAAGCAGAGGCTGGGAAGCGGCTTCTTCGAGTGCATTCTGCAGCTGTGTCTGTCTCTGTCTCTGGGTATGTGGTTCTGTTGAAGCGCGCACGCGGTCTGATTCGTGTTTGTCATCAGCCTATGGTCTATAGACCGCCGCCTCGCCAAAATTGGTTTAAACCGAAATCTTTCTTTTGTCAAAATTTATATACAGCAGCCCAGGCCAGACCGGACCAGACCGGGCCAGACGAAGCTGCGACGACGCGGCACTTGACCTACGCGTCGCCCTGCGGGCATTTTTGTTAAGAGAGCAAAGCGATCCATGAGCAAAGTTGACCAGTGAATGCTCTGCCCTAACATGACTCTGTATACCTACTAATTTCCTATAAACTCTTGGGTAATGATCTGCCACTTATAAATAATATAGAGGTACAGATGTACTTGGTTCTGTTTCCTAATTATTCAGTTTATTTCCAGTAAGCACATATTAAAAAGTAAGCACTAAACGGCTAGTAATTGATGGATACTACTGCTGCTCGCACTCGTATGAGTACTTTAACAATGAATTATCACGTGCTAGACTGAACTTTTGAGGCGCACTATTACTATAGCTAAGGAAAACGCACTATGGGTAGTGGCAAAACAGTTGAAATTAATTAAATGAAACCGGGAACAACGACAGAGAGCCGCCAAGCAGCAAGATGATTCTTTAAGACACGCAAGAAACAAATAAATTCGAAGATACACGCGCAATAAAAGAATTTATGCTTAAGCAGAATATTAAAACGTCCAATTAAAACCTAAGAATAAGCAGTAATTTAATTCATTGAAATGTCTATATCCCAGCTGCAGCTAAAAGTGCACATGCTCTCTGCGCTTGCGAGAGACAGAGAGAGTGTGTGTGTAAAAGCAACTGTAAAATGTCATTTTCTGGTAACCACCGTTTGACAGTCGACGCACCGCGCCGCAACGCTGCTGCGGCTACTGCGGCTACTCTCTTCCACTCTCTCAACCACTCTCACTCTCTTTGGCGCCGACGCGACGTTTAGCCAGCTAGCGGTTGTTTTTGTTGTTTCTGTTGTTTTGTTTTAACTTTTGTTTTCATTATCATTGAAATGCGGCGCATATTTTTCTAGCCGCGAGCCAAATAAAAATCGTAACGAAAGTTTAGACCACAAATTCAATAATGAAAGCGACTTCTTATGGCCTCATCCTCATCGATCCGCTCCAAAGATGAACGCCAAGCCAACCAACCGACGACAGTATTCGGCTTCGATCATTGAGATCAAATTGCAGTTGAGAAATTGTCGCATATTTATGTACATACCCAATCCAATTGAATCCCACATTCTCACTTATATAATATTTGGATTGTTTGTGATTAACTTTTGAATGGTTTTTGTTTTTGTTTTGTGTGTTATTAATAAACATTTAATTGTTATGCTAATAGGGGGCCAACACTGAGAAAGTTGCGCTGCTGCATTATTATCATGAATTATCAATATCACCATCATCGTCAGGAAAGTTCATCATAGCTCGCTCTCTATACATATAGTAAAAACAAGCAAATAAACAAAACAAAAACGAAAAAAAACAAATAATTATAACACAAAATATACTTCAAATGCATCTAATTTCAATTTTATATATAGAAACATATCTGATTGAATTGTATTTGTAATTTATTCGCAATTCATTTTTCGCTGTGAAAATTCTAAAACATGACCCGAAAACTAATCAATAATTTGAGATCTCCTGGGAAGTTTACCCATAAATTAATTATAAAACTCTCACGCTTCTCAGGCAACGTGTGGAAAATTACGATAGCATCACAGAGGGAGGCCTTACCATGGAGGGGAGGCATGACTTTGACACTGGGGAATGCGGTTGACGTTCATGCAAAAATCGATCCCATTTAAATGAAAATAAGACAAGAAAAGAAAGAAATGTGGTAGGAGTGAAAATAAATGTAATAAAACGTGTTAATATGTATGCTAAAGAAGCAAACAACATATATTCATGGTCATAGTTGTATGTGGGGGGTACGAGTATTACGTATACGTAACCAAACCCACATCCATATACACAAAAGCAAAGGGCTCAATACTTACATATCAAAATGACATTCCGGCATTCAATTGCAAAGCCTATTAGCCCTCTAATTGACTTAAGAGAGCTGCAGCTAAATGCGAATACGTACGAGTCTACGATAAGTAGAACCCGAGCTCATAATCCACTCTTCGAAGACAGTTTAGATGGCATTGCAGTGACATTAAGTTCAGATCCATTTTTATCGATCACAACAGAGTGGCAACAGAGATCAAGGCGGATTGCCTGTCTATCGCTCCTGTACCCATGCAATGCCTTTCTACCTATTAAGCCACTGCTTTAATTGATAACAGCTAACAGGAGAGCGAACGCTCAGCTGGGTGGTGGGTGGTGCGTGCCAACGCTGACGTCAGCGCTCTGCTCTGTCTCAGCTGCTCTGCCTCTCTGCTGCTTTTGGCCAGCAACAGCAACAGCAGAACAGTCGCAGCAGCAGCAGTCCGTTTGTGTGTCTCGTCATCGTTGTTGCCGCGTCATCGGAGTCAGTCGGTTGGATTGATATTGTCAAGAGTAAGTGCTTCGGCCGCAGCGCCGACGCTCAACGCTCGACGCCTTCGTCTGGTGCTGCTGCTGCTGCTGCTGCTGCTGTTGCTATCGGTAATGCCTGGCCCACCCGGCCTGGGACAACGGCGCCAAAACAAACCAAAATCAGTTTGAATTCTGCCTTCAAGCGCTTTAGAACAAAGCACAAGCTGGCCAAATCCGAATAGAGTCCACACACAGAAAAGCCTCAGAATCTCCACATTTGCTGTGCAATTAATCAAAGAACACAGCCGCTCGTTATATCTCAAACAGTTAATTTTTTTTTTGAGTGCACATTTTATTGTTTTACTTTTGTGATACGCGAAAACGTAGTCGGGATACCCACAACTCAACCAAAATCAAAACGAAGCAGCTGCGATAACATTTTCAGAGGCAAACAAACCAACAAATTGCTCCACTTGCTCCCATCAGTGCAATGTCCTCTGGAAAGATTCTACCACGTCGCCAGGCGGTGCCCGTGCTCTATACACGCGGCACCCACTATGAGGTTGGCTTCGATATGGTAAGTTTCGTGACCTTTTCCCAGGGGAAAAGTTCTACCACAAGTCCCTACTCCACGTTGGTCACGCCAACTGAATTTTAAATGGCAATTCCTTGTGGCCTTTATTGGCTTTTAATGAATTCTAATCTAGTTTATTGTGTCGCAAAGAAGACATCATTTTAGTTCTTATTGTACGATAAGTATGAGTAGTTGTGGAATAAGTAGAGCATATTGCAACTTAATTTAATGGCTTAATGGCCGCACTCTAGCCATTTGCATGCCCTGTCAAAATTGCTCTGACCTGCATGCAATAGTTGAGCAAGAGCCTAGGTCTAAGATAAGATTTCTCCCATGTGCCTCTATCATTTGTGTGCTCAGTTAAGTGCAAAATTGTATTGATATTTCGCACCAGAAATTCCCTCATTTACAGCCAGCGGAAAGTAACCAAATGAATATCCTGTTCGTCCTTGCGTTCAATGACTAATTGCCAAATTGCTAAATTAATAATTAAAAAATCAACCAGGATGCACTTTAAAGAATCCCCGCAATATTTGTTTGGCTCAAGGACAGAGCAAAACCGCAACAGTCAACGAGTGCTAATAAAACTTTATCTGCCTGTTCTGTGGTTGGGTTATCTTTACTGCAGCACTCGTACATATGGACATATGTATATGTATTTAAATATTCCAGACAATATCACAGACTAGAACAGAAACGACCTACATTCATGTCTCCGGGAGACATGCCTCAGTCACAGACATTTTCGCTTGCTTAATGCTAATGCAGATTCGTGATTTGCATTGTCGTGTGGCTCTCTTGACCATCAACCTTGCTGACTGTAAGCTGCGATCCCATTTGCATGGCATGGAGTTATCTGCGAAGTTGTCCGCATTCGTGTCCGTCTCTGTTGCCCACCCAAAAGCCAGAGACAATCTCCTCCAAGCACCCCTCCCCCTTGCTCCAACCACCCAACACCGACACCCATTCATTATTCATGTTCTTTCTTTTATTCTCTGTTGTATTTTAGTCGTCATTTGTTTGTTTTCTTTACACGGCCGATCGATCGGTCGTGATCGATTATATTTTGCTTTTTTTTTTTTCCTATTAAACACACAAAAACGGACTTGCAAATAAATCTCCATGGGGGGCGTGCCTTTGCCTTTACTTTGTTTTGTTACAAAATTAGAAAGCATTTAATCATTTAATTATAATGGAAATATATTTTTGTATGTACATTTAATTGCTTTACAGGGCCGCACGTTTGGCTCGATGATTAAGAACTTTTTGCTCTTATCGAAGACACTGATCGAGACCTACTTGCCCCTCTATCAGACCCCAAAAGGCAGTAAGTACACTCATTCGTATGCCAAATATGTGCTCGAGTGGCTCTGATCGAATGGTGATTTGATTCATTTCAGAGCAAATCTATAATGAGACCCTGGAGTCGGTGAAGGATAGTTTCCCCCAGTACATACGAGAGCTGGAGGGCGTTGCCGATGGTGCGGAGGTGGAATTCCATAAGGTAAGACACAAATAACCCCAATCCAATTAGTCAGGGTTGGGGTGTATGGGTGGGGGCAGGGGGTAACTAATTAGCACTCCAACTGTACAATTTTAAACGACCAGCGACCAACGACCAACGACCAACATTGGCATTATCTATCAAAGTAGCTTGTAGCTGCACAATTAAATGCTCATTAAAACGAATACAATTGTCGGGTGGTGTCTTGGCTTTTGGCTTAAATATTGTAATTTAACGCTAATAATCCGCACTGCAAGGCTGCCCAAGTGTGGGAGAGGTTCTAACGGTAAAGCTAAGGCCCCCACCAAAAGCCTAAACTTCGTGCGATCGAATAATCTCTGTGGGACATTGCGTGTCTGCTAAGACCAGGGGCCAGGGGTATCCAATGACAACAACACCCGAGTGCAGTCTCTGACGCTCTGGACAGTGTTAATTGGATAAAAGGGTATGCGCTGACATATGCCTGCCATACCTTTATATTGTTAGCAACTCGAACAATGCCATTAGCCGATGTTTAGTTTAGTTTTAGCCTGTAATTTTATTGTAATCAATGCGGATTCACCCGCCACGTGCAGTTCAACAATGGCAAATGGCTTCTGCTTCATTTAATTGCTTTTGCTTGGGGAATCTTTTACACTTAGCTGGCGTTCACTGTGCACAAGCAGCACCGTTCGGTGCGCCGCGTTCAGTGTGCCGCGTGCCGCGTGCGGCATGCAGAGTGTCATAGACATTGAACTAGTTCCGATTTGTGGCCTCCCTCTGCTGCTGCGTTTGAGAGTGATAGACAGGCTATAAGCATACCCTGCCATAACCTGCGAGTGGTTATGCACTCTAAAACTTCCACGAAATACGAACTATAACTTTACCTACAAAAAGGAAAAACAATAACAACTAACTTGTTTCTTAATTTATGTACTTGTAAAACTGATAATTATTAATTTATAGTCTAGACATTTACGCGCAACTTGTACTATTTTTAATCAGGTTTCTGATGAAGTAATTGGGTCGAAATCACGACTATTTCAATCCATGATGACATTACATATGTACATACATAAGGTGGTGGATTCTCTCTCTCTCTCTCTCTCTTGTGGGTGTTATTCTTCACACACGAACATGCAATTATAGAGAAGGTTGCTGTTGTATTTACAGTTGTACGTGAAAGAAGAGAATGCGCGTTGATGCGAGCAATGATGCGCTTTGAGCTTTGGAGCTTTCTGCCCACTGGCTGATCAAAGCTGCATGCAAAATGCTGCAGCGTGTAAACAATGCGTGCAGCCACCCACACGCATACATACAGCATGTACATGAAAGCTCCATGTGCAGCCAAAGCATCGTATTAAAGAAGCGTAATGGGAGTATTGTTGTCCCCATTGTTTTTGCTTTTGTTTAGAAATTATGCCTGATAGGGCAAGGTATTTTAATGACTGGTACTCGACGAGATTCGCGTGTTATATTGGTTTATTGTTCGCAGTCTTTACATTTTCGCAATGAATTTCGTGTACATAGCCCATTAAAATTTTGCAGAACTATAAAAGTGATAGCTTGTCTCCCACTTGGAAGTGCGTGGGTAGGGTATTTCAGCTGCGTTATGCTGCAGTCTAAGCGATTTAAACTCTCCTTCTTGGTTAAGCCAATTTGTGGGGCACAGCAGTGCCACACACAAGTGCCAAACGAAGAGAAGCCTGCAGAAGTCGACACATCAGATTCGAACTTAACCCTTGTTTGGCTTCATTGACATTGGAATTGGGTATTGCGGATTGTGGATTGTGGATTGTGGATCGGGGGATTGGGCACAGCACACTCTCATTAGCACGGCAGCTTGGCAGCAAATGCAGAAGTCGCAGTGCAGTGCGCAGCTGTCTTGTGTCTCCATAATGTGTTATAATCTGTTTATTTTTTTGCAGCATTTATACAGTTTGTTGGGGGCCAATTAATTGCACGCAAAAATCGCGCTGACCCTGGCCGCAACTGTGGACATCTAAACATCTAGCTATCTGTGCCGGGGGGATGTGGGGATGGGGCTCTGTTCGGGGCACTACTGACACCGGGCCACAATTAATAATTCAAATTAGCAGCATTATGAGTGCATACAAATGCTGATATGTGTGGCCATTCCGTTTCAATTGCAGTTTATTGTCAATTAGCATGGAATCGGATCGATAACAAGCTGCAGGTGTGGGGCTTTAGCCATCATTGCCTTGCCATCAGCTAATTGAAATGAAAACAAGAAAGTAAGGCTAGCCGCAAAGGCCTACCATGCACAGACATGGCTGTAGATTCTCGGTTGTTAGTTGTGGGACACAGACAGCAGCCAATAATTATAAATATCAATAGAAATTGTGACAATAGTAAACGGACTTTGTTCTCTTATTTTGTAGCTGTTTCTGCTGCATTTGGATGACATCTTGCCACAGGCCTTGAAGTTACAGCCGCGCAGCAAGAACCAACCCACTGGCTGCTCCACAATTATTGTGAACCAAAAGAATTGCGTAGGTTACTCCTATCCTACTCCTATCTAGAATAACCCTCTCGAATATCGTCCATGTGTGTGTCCTTTATAGCGACTGTTGGGTCACACGGAGGATGCCCTAACGGAGGCACTCAATCATTATTACTTTGTTGTGGCGCACATCATCAGCGACAAGCCGCAGGGCAAATATAATGTCAAGGAGGAGCACTTTATGTCCCTATGCTATGCGGGCCATCTGCCCGGCTATACCATGAATCAGAATCATCACGGACTGGTCTTCAGCGTCAATACGATTAGTGCGGAGCTGTTGCGCAGTGGCAAGACACGTGCGTGTCCTCCTACTCCTTCTAAAATATTTCTTAATCATATTTTTGCTTTTTGCTCTAGCGAGACATTTTTTGACACGTGCTCTGCTGGCCACCAGCAACGTGGACGATGCCTTCAGGGTGCTCAGGGACGCCGGTGTGGGTGCAGCCGATGCCTGCTCCATTAACTTTACCTTCTTGGCGTGAGTATCCATGGATCAGCAGCCATCTCAGCCATGTCAGCCATGTTACAGTCTACAGTCTACAGCCTATTGTTTCTCCTTGCGATTTTACAGCGATCCGCGGCAGATGTTCTACAATGTGGAGATGGCGCCATCGCCAGAGCGTAAGAATGAGTCGCTTTTGAGCATCAAGGAGATACCCTTGGGCGAGCATAACTACCATGTGAATCAGTGAGTAAAACCAGCACCAGTTGGTACCCATTATGATTCGATCCCCTTTCAGATTCGATCGCATACACGAGGACCAGGCCAACGCTATGATGGTCGACTCCAGCGTATCGCGCATGCAGACCTTTGGCACCTACAAGCCGCCAATGAGCGAACAGGATGTCCGTCACATGCTGGGCGACGTCTCCGGTGGCGAGTATTGCGTGTGGCGGGAGAATGGCAGCTGTGATGAGGTGGTCAAGACCATTGCCGTTGGCATTTTTGATCTCAGCGCCAAGACCATGTCCCTCTACTCGGACAATCCCAGTGAGACGGAGCCTCACTGCAGGCTGCCGCTGCTCTTCAAGTAGCCTTCAAATCATTATTAACTGGCGGTACTTAGTTTTAAAATTACAAAAAAGCAGCCCATAAATAAAGAGTCTTTAAAAGGGCGACTGTAACACTGTGGCAAAAACATTCAACTTTGGCTTTATATATCGGACATATCCTCAGCATATAGCCGCAAAATAAAATCATATAAAAGTTCATACATTTTGCATTGCAAGTGAAAGTGCATAAAAGACATAAAAGGTTTTCAGGGGGAGTAAAATGGCCAACGAGATGGGAACTCATGTCCCTCTTCGGGTGCATCTTCTAGCGGTGGCGTGAGGTGAGTTCTCTTTGCGTCTTGGGTTCCCGGTCAACTAGTGCTGTCTACAGCTGGAGCTAGATAAAATGGCAGGTTGGTTGCTGGTTGCTCGAAGACACCCAAGAAGCGAGCCGCCTCTAAGCGCAAGCGTAAAGGCCGAACGCAGGCCACGCAAGTCTGCGGCCGGTAAGAAGTCCATGCGTATGCCCAAGGCTAAGGCTAAGGCCAAAAGCTCTGCCAAAAAGCCTCAGCCAAAATCAAAAGCTGCGAAGCGCAAGTACTGTTAATGTCCCGCGACTCGATGATGACCCAACGATAATGTCCCGACAACAAAACAAAACAAAAAATTGAATCTGGAGTGAGTGCTTAACGTTGATGCTGTTTCCCCTGACAATATCCTGTCAAAATGGCACTTGAAAAAGAATGGCGTACAATTCGTCATTCTTTTATAATTTGTAAACAAAATTTGAAATTGTCAGAGCTGACTTTTCAGATCCTTTGACTTTCTGGCGTAACTTTTTACAGAGAGTATTCCATAAATATGCTAATATGTAGAAAACTTGTAGTTAGCATGTAGTTACCGAATTTTTGTCGAGCTTGAAACCTTGTTTTTAAAAAAATAATTCAATAAAATAAGTCCTTTCTGTAGAAAAATGTATTCATCAATAGGATACAATTGTAGTTTTATGGCCTTTGAGAGCCTGAGATGGCTAGTAATTTTAAGCGAATGTAAAATTAAATAAAAAGATTTGCATCGGTACATTTACGGTATATTTAGAAAGTGAAAAAGTACATTTATGAGGGTCAGACGGTATATTTGATCAACAAATCCGCGGCCACACTGTACTCAAGTCCAAAGCCAAAAAAAAAACATTAATTGTTTGTGTTTTTATTCGCCTGAGCCAAACGGGTGTTAATTAAAGTGAAACAATTCAAGTTAAACGTGGAAAAGTCATCAAATCTCCAATTGCTAGCTAAAGTATGTTTTGTGACTTCATCTCGTTTCCTCCATTACCTCCTCTTTCTGTTTTCTAGACCGAGCAACATGTTGCCAGACAAACCAAATTATGAGGCGAGAAAATGGACGTAATCATTTAAACAAAAGGCGTGCGTGTGGAAATCGCAATCCCAAGCGTCCATATCCAAGCAATACGCTAAACGGCGGCTACCCGCTAGTTTGCCGCCCTCCCCACGCAAGCAGGCACTCGCGCTGCCGCAGGCGCACACACAGGACAAGCAGACGACAGACAGCAGCCCCCACCCGAAACGTAAGTCCTGCAGCAACAGCAGCCAGTAGCTGAGGAAGTCCGCGCATTCCACACACCCTTGGGGAAGCGCACCTATGGCCAATTCTCAGGCTCTTTCGTACATCATGGCACACAAACTACTTAAATTATTAATGCTCACACACACACACACACATACACACGCACAGCAGTGCGGGAGCGCGAGAGTCCACCCCCCATTTCAGCTTTGGCGACACATTAAAACGCCTCCCACTGCTGCAATGTGAGAGCCCCCGCACAAATTAGGTTTTGTTTCACTTTTGACTTTGATGTGTTTGTGTGTGTTGTGTGCTGCTGCTGCTGCTGGCTGCATCAACGACAGAGGGGAGCATTACATTATGGTTGTGGCATGCATGTACATACGCTTATAGATTCCCAGTCACCAACTGAACCACACTAACCGTATCGAGCACTTCGTCGTATGACATGACCCACCATTGTTTATCTAAAACGCCTTCTAAGACTTTCGCCCAGTTATCGATAAGATAAAAACAATTTCCCATACAACAAAGCAAAAGTCTTGAGCAGAACCACTCAAGGACAGCTATCCTGGTCGTCCCGATGAAAGCTTCCATACTGCCACTATCAATCCTGGCCTTGAGCTGCCCAGCCGAGTGGTTGGATCATTAAATTATAGGCGGCTTACCTCCATAAACCCTTGGGTAGAAAGTAAACAGATCATGATCGATCCATGGGCCATGGCCTGGCTGGCACACCACACCCCCATGGCTCATTCACGAGGAACAAATAGTGGCCGTAATTGATGCGCAAATATTTGTGACTCCATCTCCAGGCATGACAATGGAAAGCGACGGGTCGTTATCATCTGTCTGGGTAGGGGCAGGGCATGCCAGGCCAGAGAATCTATCTGGCCTTGATCAAGGCCTAATCTGTAGCTGTAACTGTAACTGAATCGGAGATTGGCAAGCGTTTGGCATTGTTCATGTAACCACAAAATCTATAAGTGCTACATATACACACATACATGTGTATATGCATACTCTCGCAGAGAGACTTCATTTCTCGCTCCCACTTCCATTGATAAGCTAGATCTCTCTCTCTCTCTCGCAATCAATTAGAGATGGGCACGTGACTGAACGATCATTAGAGCAGAACAGAGAGATGCTTACGTACGGTATGTAAAGCTCCATCAAATATAACGCTCTAAAAGTGGTATAACAGCAACTGTGATTTTAACTGTTAATCATTCCATTCCATTCCATTTTCTTAAAACCGAAACAAATGGCATGAGAAATGCCAGACCGTTCCACACGTTGCAATGAACAATGAATAATGCAAAGCCATTTAAATCACGGAAATGCGCATTACGTACGGGCAAGTGATGGGCCGGACACCGAACGGCAGAGCGTGGGGTAGCCGGTACTGGGTATTGGGGATCGTGGGCGGAACGGCACTAAATTTGATGATAAATTGTTGCAAATCGAATCAAAATTACATTTGAGCTGCAAGTTCAGTACAAAATCATTGTATTTCCAACGAAATTGGTTGATTTGGACATTTAAGCGAATGTTCCTAAGGAGAATGCTTAATTTATTTCGTTGTATTTTGTCTAATTTCAATGCTAATTAATGCCAATCCATCTTGCAGAAACTCTTCCTTCATTATGGAGCCCACTGCAGCGGGTAATCTGCTGGAGATCATGGACCTGGCGCGCACCCTACGCCAGGAGCAGCTCTTCATCCAGCAAGAGCAGACGACCTTTGGCCAGCTGACGGGCGCTCTAGAGACCAATGCCGGCACCATAACAAAGGTAAATATTAGCCTTAAAATATTACACAAATATCCTAGTCTCTCATGTTCTCTTTTTGGTTACAGTTGGCCTTTGTGTGTGCCCAGCAGAGGCAGATACTGAACGAGCTGCTGCTGGCCCGGAACGATCATGATCCTCTGTTGAGCTGCAGACGAGCGAGTGCCTATGACAGTGCACAGTTTATGGATGCCAAGCAGGTGCTGCCCTATGAGCATGCTCTCGCCTACGAGGATCTCTTCAATTATCTCTACAATACGCCATATTTGTTGGCTTTGTCGCTGGCCACCGCGGATCGGCTGTCGCTGCTGTCGAGCGGCCAATTGGGGCAGATAATCAATACGATAGCGACGGGCCTGTATGGGAATGCCATCAACACAAAGGATGTGGAACTGCTGCTGAAGCTGCTGCGTGAACTGATTGAGATTCAGCTGCTGGGCAGCGAACAGCCCCGCCGTCTGCTCCGCACCAACAGCAGCTCCTTTGCCCGCCTCTATCAGCGGCTGGTGGAGAGCCTCTTTTCGGCTAGAATATTTCTCACAGCCGCCCTGCATGCGCCCCTGATGGGAGTCCTCAGCGAGCACGACATCTGGCTGGATCTCGATCCGCACAAGCTGATGCAGAGCTTTAGCCAGAAGGAGCGCGACAGGCGCTTCGGACCGGCGAGCCAAGAGGGTACAGCGGCGGGGGAGCACAGCGGGGAGTATCAGCGGAATGTGGCACGCTTCCATGCAGAGACGCTCGGTAAGCTGCACACCCATGCCCAGGTGTTTGTGAAGAGTCTACAGCAGAGCTGGGCTCTGTTCCCCAGCTCCCTGCGCTGGCTGCTGCAAACGCTCAGCCAGCAGCTGCGTCAAACGCATCGCCACGAGGAGCAGGAGATCCGGCAGCTGCTCACGGACCTGGTATTCACGCACTTCATCTCCCCGGCCATTGTCAGCGCCGATCTGGTGGGCATCATCGATGTGAATGTTAGCGAACGGATGCGTCACAATCTCAATCAGATTGTCCAGCTGCTGCAGCGGCTGGCGCTCAACGACGAGGGCAGCGAACTGGTCCAGCTCATGGAGCTTCTCATGCTCGGCGAAACGGGTGAGGATGTGGTGGCCATACTGCCACAGCAATCGGACTTTGAGCGCTCCCAGCTGGCCATCAATCAGCGAGAACTCTCACAGTTTGTCGAGTTCTTTCGACTGTTGACGTCGCGCGATGAATACGATGTCTCGGCAGAGGAGAGGCTGCGCTTGCAGCGCATCTTGGGCAGGATACCCAAGCAGCACCAGCAGTCATCCCAGGCGGAAGTGCCCGACAGTCCGGAGAAGCAGCAGAACGCCAGCAGCAGCAACAAGAAGAGCAGCAACAACAAAAGTCTAATGCGCTTGGGCAAGGCCAAAAAGAAGCTGGCCAACAGCATGAGCTTCAGCAATAGCAACAGCAACAGCAACAAAAGTGCGCCGCCCGTCGAGCAGGTGCCACTGGCCAATGGCCAGGCGAATAGCTTCAATGTGTCCGCTGCCTCGAACGGAGATCTCGAGCAGTGCTCCAGCCACAGCGGCAGCAATACGAGTCTTAGTTCCTGCGGTGCTCCAGTTGCTGCCATAGCTGCTGCCGTTGCACCTGCACCTGCCCCTGCACCTGCACCTGCCCTTGCTGGTACAAGCGATCATCAGTGTGGCGATCCGAGTGAGCCTGTGCTCATGTTTAGCATCTATAATGCCTCAGCGAAGAGCAAGCTGAAGCCGCTCACCGAGGAGGAGGTGCTCAAGATGAATTG